TAATCATGGATTGTTAGCATGAACTTCTTCAGTTTGTGTAGGTGAGACAGTGAGTCTTGGCAGCTGGCCCAGTCTTCTCCCCCCTGAATGGCAGTTCCAGGCCTTGGAGCTGACACCTGGTGAAGCAGGCAGAAACAATGAACTATCACCTGGTCCTATGCCATTGTACGGCTTTGTAGATGGCATCCTTGAATTGGATTCAGAAGCCTACTTGGAGTCAGTGTAGCTCACAGAGTAACAATGTTGTATCAGCATTTCAGGAAGTCTACAGAGATTCTCAGTCATCCAGGTCATGGTTGTCCCAAAGGTGCTTTTTCAAGAGGCAACTAGACTTTCTGGTTTTGTCTTTGAAGACATTTTGCTTCTCACCCAAGAAGCTTCTTCATCTCTGACTGGATGGTGGGAATGGAAGGATTCAAGGAATCAAGAATGCAAGGAATTAAAAACCCTTCCATTCCCCACCATCCAGTCAGAGCTGAAGAAGCTTCTTGGGTGAGAAGCGAAACGTCTTCAAAGAAAAAACAAGAAAGTCCAGTTACAAGAAAGCCTTTTTGGGACACCATATCAAGAGAAGACCTTGAATAAAATATGAGCTCTGTATCCATTTAAGTACCTTCTTTTTTTTTTTTTTTTGGGCAGATTGTTCCTGTTGCTTGAGAACGCCAAGAAGTTGTGTCTTATAGCAGAATCCTTTCACCATCAGCACTGTGTCCTGAAGGTCGAGGCATTTGCCTACAAGATGGCAAGTGGGAGAAGGTAGGAAGAACAGAGCAACGGCATGTGAGTGCCATCTCACATGGCCAGGAAGTGCTTGCATTGAATTTGGAGCAGAGAATCAGACTGGAGGACTGCAAGAACTAATTTTGGAAATACCTTTTTCTTTTCAGGAGACACTTTATGGGCAGTGCGGCCACTGATGGTAGCATTGCATTTTGGGACGTTACTGCTGCCCTCAGTCATATTTCAGCAATTGTGAAGACAGGAGACATTCCGGTGAAACCCCTAGGTAGGTGTTGGCGGTCCTGATGACGCAGCCTGAAAAAGCCAGTGCATCCCCTTTCTTGTAAAGCTCCTTAACTGGGGTTTCTGTTCATCTGAAGGTACTGTTGAGCCTTTGGATTGAACTACAAAAGTGCATATAGTCAGGGCTATGGTTTTCCCAGTTGCAATGTACGGCTGTGAAAGTTGGACCATAAGGAAGGCTGAGTGCCAAAGAATGGAGGCCTTTGAACTTTGGTGCTGGAGAAGACTCCTGCGAGTCCCTTGGACTGCAAGGCCATCCAACTGGTCAGTCCTAGAGGAGATCAAACCTGACTGTTCTTTAGAAGGCCAGATCCTGAAAATGAAACTCAAATAACTTTGGCCACCTAATGAGAAGGAAAGTATCACTGGATAAGAGCCTAATGATGGGAAAGATTGGGAGCAAAAGAAGAAGGGGTCAGCAGAGAATGTGGCTGGATGGAGTCACTGAAGCAGTAAGCGTGAGATTAAACGGACTCTGGGGGATGGTAGAGGACAGGAAGGCCTGGAGGAACGTTGTCCATGGGGTCACGAAGGATCAGGCATGACTTCACACCTAACAACAACAAAATTCCTCTCCAATCTTAGACACTTTCAGTGTACAACTGTTTCTTGTAGTTCTACCTGTCGGGGAATTGCACAACCGGTGTCCAAATAGAGTCAGAGGCGCTGACACAAACTTGTAGTTTTATATAAATAAATGTATTTTACGTTTAGATTTACATCAAACAAGATAGTCAGGCACATCACTACATCGTCAGGTAAATCACACAACAGTATACAGAGCACACAGAAGAAAAAGGGCCAGAAAAAGGGAAATGCCCATTTCTTACCCAGCAACCAATCATAACATAGATTGCCTAACGCAGGAGCCCGCACTCTCCAATAATCAACTAAGAACTGAGTGTACTGGCCCATGATGCACTTTATTGTTCCAGCTATTAAATTAAATATCTTAACACTACCTCACCTTTACAATTAAAAAAAAAACTGCTCAAGGAGCCAGCAGTAAATTGCAGAAAAATAACCAGCACTTCTGTTCTTTTCCAGCCCTAGAATCTCCAGTCCTGACCATTCAGGCTCACAGCTGCGGTGTGAACAGCCTCCACATCCGGAAAACAGCCAAGAGACACTTTGTAGTGGTCAGTGGCAGTGATGACGGGTCCATCTCTGTCCATGTTATTGAGGTGAAGGCTGAAAGCGCTGTGGGCCAGGAGACCCCAGCCAGGGCTGGCATCCAAGTGATCAGAAAAGTATCCAGGCTTGGCGCTCACGCAGCTCATGTGACGGGAGTGAGGCTCCTCCACCTGAACTTCCTCCTTTCTGTGTCAGTGGACCAACGCTTGACCCTCTGGAGTCTCTGTGAGGACAGCTTGTCGTTTGTATGGAGCAAATTCTGCCACGTGGCTGATGTGGCTGCTCTGGAGTGTTGGGAAACTGAAGGACACAGCTATCGCGGTGTGATATGTGGTCAGGGGTTGCAAGTCCTTTCCTGGGGGCTGGATGTGCAAGGTAGAAAAATAAAAGATGGGATCTGAAATAGCTTCATTCCATTGAAATTCAGAAGAGAAATGAGGGCAACAGCAGGTATCAAAAGGAATTCTGCTCAGAGCATCACTTGTAGCAAAGTGAAAGGCATCGTTATCCTAATTTCACAAAGGGTTTGGATCTCATGGCCCACTTCACAAGGTGGTGGTTGTGGGGAAAATAGGAGAAAGGTGTGTTGGATTTGTTTGCTGCCTTGAGTTATTTGTAAAAACAATAAAGGCGGAATATAGATAGATAATAGGGACACAGACAGACAGACAGACAATAGATAGAGACAGACAATAGATAGATGGAGGGAGGGAGGGAGGGATGATAGGCATTCCAGGGCAGTAGGACTTTCAGGCAGTAGGACTTCCAGGAGAGATGAGTATGTGGGGTGGTGGGAGGTGAAGTGTATTGCACCCCCCCCCCAAACTCCAGTTTAGAACAAGTGGCTTTGCCCTTCCCCATATATGGTAGCCTTTCTCCATTAAGCCCAATACTCTAAGTTAGGATTCGTCTTTCATCAGTATCTTTAGCCCCGATACTTTCTCCAATAAGTCCGTTGCAGAGTCGTGTCTTTCAGACCGGTACTTGATAATCCAGCATTTCATTCCTGGCCTGACTGTGGTTATGATTTCTCCAGAACAACAGGCATATTTCATAACCCCACAGCATGTTTATACTAAGACTTCTTTGGTGCACTTGGAACTAGCATAGGCATCAGAATAGTAACTTGATCTGTCCATCAAAAAACAATTTTGCAGAGTGTTCCGCACAGATGGTACTTATTAATACAAGAGGCTGCATTTCAACTGAAATGTGGCAGTCCAGCCACACTTTGCTCCCAATGCTGAACAAAATCAGGCTATCAAGAAAGAGTATCCCTGGAAGTAATTGGTAGTTCCCTTCAGTGGGTCAGTCTTAAGTGCTCAGACGTGCCTACAGCAAGTGTCATTGTCTACCAAGGTTGTACCATAAAGACAAGGGTGACTCCTTCCTTTGGGAAGTGCTAGAACCAAACAAGAAATTGCCCTGCTCCCGAAAGACACAAGTGGACAAGCCAGCAGGAAAAGAACGGAAACCCTATTACGCATAGGATTTTATCTTATCCAGGAGATCAAGGCAGCACATATGGCATGTTCTCCCAGTCTTCTCAGAAGTTACTGCTATGGGACTAACCAAATCAAGGTCACCTCATGAGCACTTATGGGTGAAGGAGAACCTGATTTGATTCAAACCCAGCACTTTATTATTTACCATAAAAGAAAAGTAGAGGTAAAAAATTAGGCTGCTGTTCTGAGCTCCAAGCTTGGCAATTTGGTTGCAAACCATTTGAGGAGACATCGTCAGTGCACTTTGAATTGTGTTCGTCGGTAAGTACACTGGCCTTTAAATACCTTTTTAAATGATGCAAATTAGTGTGGATGTTGTTTGTTCCTATAAAATCACATAAAAATGGTGATGAAATGTTTGGAACCAAATTGCCAAGCTCGGAGCTCAGAACAACAACCTAACTACCAACCCAAGCTACTAATAGTCAAATACATTTCAAGAAGTGAAAAATAATTTGGATCAGATCAAAATTTAGGACTCCACAAATCCTCAAAGTCTAATTGTTCTTTAGGATCTATCTAGCACTACTGGATTGCTAATTCATAATCTGTGGAGAGCCCACTTGCCAACTATTTGCTTCTGCTCTATCAGAAATCATGGTACTATGGATAGATCTTCAAAAGGTTAAATTTTGTCTTGCACAGCATCCCTTTCTCAGTAAAGGTTGTTCAAGATTCCTGCAGTTTCTTCCCTACATTTGAAGAGTAGGCTCCAATTACTAAGCAGACATGGAGGCTCTCCTTCCGCCAGAGAATGCCTATGGCAGAGGTGCATCCGGGCACTTTCAGAGCACATGGCAGGGAATAAGGTGGGCCCATGGTCCCAGGATCTCAATTTCAGCTGCAATTTCACCCTGCCCTTCAAGTTGCCACCACATTGTGACCATCAAGATTGGCTACAATGTAAATCACTCGTTGGTCTGATGAAACAGTGGCAATAATTAATGTCTATCATTGACCACATTTCCCCAAAGAAGATGCTGAACTCACCACCCTACACAAAGAACTGTGATATCCACTATATCAATACTATCTGATGGGCCATGTGATGGGCACATGAGGAGAAAAATAAAGGTGGGTAGCACACATTTTATTGCATTACAATGTTATGGTTCATGAGAGCAGATGCTGAGCAGGTTGCTGATTATAATCTCAACCTGCTTTCCTTGTCTTTTTCATAAGCCGTAGAGCAATACTATAACTGAGCCACCACCTGATGCTTAGATAAAATTAGTAAAAAAGCACAGAAGAGCTTGTACAGGGAACCATCGAGGAACTGCAGTCACAGATCTCCATGTGTCTGTGTTATTTTATTTACACATACTCTTGCTCTGCTACTGGTATCAACTTTTTTTTAATTGTATGAAAATAAGTGTTTCCAATTTTAGAACAGAATTTAAAAACATGTAAGTAAACAAGTCATTTGCATTCACCAGCTTTCTATTCATTTGGATTAAGGATTCTTAACACTGTTTAAACCCAGTGGGATCTGAAACGAACTTCAGAAACAAGGCAATTATAATACAGGATACGTGCCTCTTTCTCTGTTCCATGACTGCAATTCATTATCTTCCAAGACTTTCTGAATCATTTCAGAAGAAGTTTATGTGCCCTGTTTTTATCAATTCAGAGCATTGACAAAACATGTGTCCTGCAAGGATATACTGAGTAGCTGTCCATTAGTCAGTATAGTGTAACATCCCATGCTTCATTCTCCCTCTCGTAGGAGTGAACTCTCCTTCTTCACCAAAGGGAGGTGGAGGCGGTTCCCAAGCTCAGGTATGAGACCAATCTGATCAGATCTGACTTAGAGGAGGTAGGTGGAAGGTGGCCAGGGCGCTGTGGAACACTTCCCTCACAGCTCTCATCAGCTGCAACCGGGCAAACATCTGGCTGAACAAATGGGGACGTGGCTCCTGTTGGGAGGCAGAAGTAATGATCAAGATGGTGTGGAGAGGCACAGAGACCACTTTCTCTTTGGGGGGGGGGAGGAGAAAAAGGGATGAAATGCTTTCATGTTCTCCTTTTTCTTTCTTTCTGTGGCTCTGCTTGGAAAAGATGCATTTCGCCATCCAGATATGAGCTGGATTCACACAATAGCCATAATGGGAGAATTTCATTTTTAGTAACCAGTAAGACATTTTCTGTGCAATGTTACGGAACCTTTGGCCAGCAGAGAGGGAAAGGATGAATTCAGCCTTTCTCCATGATGGGTTAGGAATGAGAGAAAAGGAGTTTATTATATAAAAGGTTTTGTAGGAGTCTCCATGCTATAGGTAACAGGACAGGCAGATAAGCCAGGTTAAATGATTCATAGTGCTTTAAGTCTCACATTGGCTCACAGTAAACCCACCATTTTTTTCTATTTGCTATAATGAGTGGCATTAAATGGTGCGTCTTGGACTTATGTTCTGAATTTTATGTATCTTCATATCCTTCCCAGATCACTTACCCCAAGAATGTGTACTCGGTTGTAGTAGGAACTGAAATCCATGCTTAGCTGAATCAGGAACTTGCAAATCTATAATATAACAAAAGTGAGATAGTTCCATTTCTCTTAGTACAAATACCTTGGGAGAATTAGGGTTGCTGACAGTTGGTGTCTAGAAGTTGATGAAACATTTCTCCAAAAATGCTATCTGAGGTCTTTTTTAATGGGCAATCACAGAGACTGAATCTAATGCCTAGGAATTTAATAACTATCCCGATCAAAGCAGCCTCTGAAATGAAAAAAATTCTCCCCCATTTGGAGTTTGAACTTCAACAGCAATTAGTGTTTGGGGTTTGGAATATCATGCTAAAATCATTCCCCAAAGCATGAAAAAACCCAAACAAGATGAAGGAAGGGAAAGAAGCCATAACATTCTGCTATGCAATATCCCATCTTACCGCCTCCGTGTTAACTGTTATCCTTAGCCCACCACTGGGGAGCAGGAGCTGTGTTACGAGGGTCAAGACCTCCTGGAAAGGCAGGATGCTATTGAATAACAGGAGCCACTCCCCCTAGAGAAAACAAAAGAGCGGAGGCCTGGGTTAGTCCAACAGAATCCATTCCATTTGCTATTTCCATATTGCACCTAGCAAGTAGAAGCATCAATCCTGGCTTCATCGGGATCATTACTGAATAGGATGGGGAAGAGTGGAAACCACGAGCCACTCCCAAAATATTTGTTTTTTCCCACTCCCATGCTATAAACAAAGTACTGGATCAGCAATCTTTCCCTTGACACTGTTTAAGCAAAAGAATGGGGGGAAAGAATGGGGTGTCATGAGGAGGGACTGTATATATGTTATGGGGAAGGAAAAAGAAGGAAAGAAAGGAAGGAAAAAAAGGAAAATTTTCTGTTCTAGATTGCAAACTAGGAGGGAAATGATCAACCAAGGAGATTCCTGTTACAACAAACACCAGATAATTTCAGCAGCCAACGTCTGTGCAATAGGTGTTCCCTCTTACTGTGATTTTATATTTATATTTATATTATATATATACTATACACACACACACACACACACACACACACACACACTAGATTACATACACTGATTGTAGATGGCAAATCACTGGGAGCAATCTTTTATTGGGGAATTAGGTAAAACTATCTTTTATCCAGAAAATGAAGTTTTCACTTTCAACATATTGGACTATTCAATTGACTCTAGAGAGGTCTCCAGGCCTGTGTCTTTGTAATTCTTTGCTCACCTCTTCCCTGAGAGAGGAGTAGTTCAGTTCAGATGACTGGGGAAAGTCTGGATACAGACCTGAATTGGATGGCAGATATTAGATATCAGTAAGGAAGAAATGTAAGAAGATTAGTCAGAGTTGGAAACAAAATTAAGTTAATGCACTGTAGTAGCATGATGGAAGATTGGTGAGGACCTGGTATTGTGATCCACTATTTCCTTTGGTATCCATAAGATAAATACTCTTAACAACCCAATGTAAATTGTATGCCACTTAATAGCTTTCTATTGTAAATTCCTCCACTTACACACTTAAAATTACTTAACAAATTTAGCAGATTGCTGTACTGTATTGCAAACCACTCTATATTTATATTGCTGTATGTAAACAATTAGGTTAAGCAGGAGATGAGTGGGTTCTTTCAAAATAATGCAAAGACTGCCAATTCAGCCAAGCAGAAACATGGGTGAATCCAGCATACACGCCAAGAATACTTTCACCTTGTTCTACTGATCTCTGGTATGTTTCAAAGAGCGTGGCAAGTCGAGCACAATTATACATCACAAAGGCTCCACCTTTGGTCCCCTTCATAGAGATATTACTTTCTTCTACATCCAAGAAAACCTGAGGGAGCAAAAAAAATTTATGTGGGCAAGAAAGTAAGTAAGGCTCTAATCCAGGGGTGTCAAACTTGTATTGTCACAGCAGCGTCACGGTGACCTATCGGGACTCCCCCTCCCCCCCTTCGTTAAACTGGGTGGAGGCACGTGAAGCATCTAGCTCGCAGGTTTGACAACCCTGCTCTAGTCTGATTGCCAAGGAGTTCCTGATCTCTGCTCCCATAATCTTGCCTGTAGATCATCTAAATCAAGGTTCCACTGTGAGAAATGAATTAAAAGAAAATACTATAGCCCTGGTTCTCAGACGATGAAGATTATTAAATTCTCATCAGACTGAAGAAGCTACTTGGATAAGCAGAAAAAGTTTCCAAACAAACAAGAAAAAAGTCCAATGGTCATGACTCAGCTTCCAGACATGGTTCTCTGTTTTTTTTTTCTATTTTAGGCCCAGATTGCCAGAGAATGTAGATCCCACCAAGGAAGACTTGAAGTTTCTTAGCCTCAATCCCACCTTACAGTACACAAACTACTAGCTGGGCTCTGCTGCATTAAGACACCAATCAGTCTATATATGTTTTTATTTAGCCTTTTTCCTTCTCGTGACCCCAACTATCTTGGGACTGAACTGAAACTCCCAGAATGACTAGTCAGGTTGGGGAAGGCCAGTTGCAGTGTCTAACACATCCAGCAGCCTGAAGTAATTGCTAAAATTGCTCTTTGCCAAGAAGTGACATTGCATTGATTCACTTTTGCTCTCTCCCCCCCCCCCCAATTTATCAACATGATAGCAATCTCTGTTCGGTATCCCATATACCATTGCCTTCCCTCTTGTGGATCCCCTGTTATTTCCCATCATACCATACATAACACCAGAACAAAAACGTTTATATCTGGAAAACTTTAAGACAGGAAAAGCTACTAGAGTAGATATCATTCTCTTTTCTCATAATTCATGTTCAGCTTCATCTGTAATATAGGAGTATAAACAAGTCCACTAATCTTATAATTCATTCCCATGCCAACAAATTAAACAGAATTATGCAAATTTAGCTAAGTTTATAACCACGTGTTATGTTTATAATACAGCATTCTTTCCTTATGCTGGATTAGCATAAACTCTTTATTCTATATATAAATGTGTGTGTTTTCAAAATTATTCCACATTTCAGTTGCACAGAAGGAAATTTACTATTTCTACTGAGGGGCTGAACCTCACTGCTTACCTGATTCTGATGAACTATACTCAGCATCTCAAATCGGATAGCAGCTGATGTCAGTACGCTGATTACTTTGGTCCAGGAGGCATCTGCGAAAAGCACATCAGAGAAAAAAAGAGCTATTCATCGTAAATGGAAAAAAAAACCTTCTATGGAACTTATCCCTCAATAATTTATTTTATCAATTAATCAGATGTATATATTGTGCATCTCACCAAAGGCGATTGTGGATCTAGAAGGGCAAGCCTTTGATTTCCTTCTGAAGTTGAATGTAAGAACTAGAAAACTCAACAAGACCCATAAGAAAGTATTTCAAGCAGCTGGACAGGCAATGAAACTGAAAGTGTGACTGGCAACGTCTATATTCAAGGTAACATACAGCCATGGAAGAGTTAACAGAACTAAAATATTGAATGGGGTAGACAGAACGGAAAATAATTAGAAAATAATTAGAAAAATAATGCATATATGTAAAATCAAACAAGGTAAAAAGGCAGGGAAGTCAACCCTGAGACCAAAAGTTCACACCATGTACCAACTGATGTTTGACTCAGCATCCTGGTAGCAGGACAACCACATGATGGAATGATAACAGAATGTCACTGCCAAAAGATAAAGAGGAAGGCTTTTTATCTCTCCAGATAAAGGATGCTCTATTTGTCTACAGCAATTGAGATGGAATGTTACGGAAAGCTCCCAACTTCCCTAGTTCCTCCTCACCTGGGTGCAACAAGGCAAAGGAGTATGAAAATGTGTGTATGTAATGCTTAAGTAGTTAATGAAGAGGTTAACATAATCTCTCTATATAAAGTGTGTTCTTTTGAGCCTTTTATTGCTGCATAAAAGTCCAAAGTTCAAATCAGGAACAAAAGCACACTGGATAACTCTGAGCCCAAAAACATTCTCTCAGCCCACAGCAATTCCTCACAGAATTGCTATGAGGATGGTATACAGACATCAATTCTCTCCTGGAAAAAAGCTGAGACACAAATCTAACAAGTCAAATAAATAATATAATACATATTTCCCCTTATTCTAACTAAAAGTTAGCAAGAAAATACATCACCATTATTCTCTTGAGGGAAACATCTTAGTTTTCAAAACGGAGCACAATAAAATGAGAGGGAAGTGATGATTATACATGAAGGGATAGACAATTACCTTTAGAGAGATCTCCATATTTCAGCACTGAAGCTTTATACATCTGGGAGTGTCGTAGTCTACAAGTTACAAACAGCAAGATCTCAGCTAAATAAACCATGCATGTTTGTGTATTTGGCTTACTGCCTACAATATCACTGCTGCTATTTTCAAAACAGTAAATTTATCATGAGGTACCCTTCTGTTCACTGAAAGATGGAAAAGAAAAGATTAACTCTTCTTCTACTACAATAGTTAAAAAATGGACTTAAGAATCTTTCCAACAAGAATTCCCCTTCCTCCACGTATTCATTTCATAATGCTCCAACTTTTCCTTTATTGCATGTTCTACTGTAACTATCTATAGCTGCTAAGACACATGGAAATGAGGGGGGTACAACCACAGCCCTGGACTAGTGTGGGTGGGACTGTTGGCCCATCTTCTGCTAATCATTAACCCCAACTACCTGCCTGATAGTGTTTTCCAGGTGCCTCTGTTATAGGCAGGCTCAAAGCTGATGCTGCCATTCACTTGTCTAAGTTCTGTGATCCAACAGGAGTCTTCCCAAGATGTCTCTTAAGGTATTTTCTCAGACCAGCCACACGCTTCTCTTTTACCAAAATACTGAACATTTATGTCAAGGGGAAAGAGTATTTTTCTTGTATTTATTCTCTCTCTGTATTATTGGCTGCCAAAGTTGATCCGATGGAGAACCCTTATTTTATCAGGAAGAAGTCTGCCCTTTTTGTTAGGTCTGACTCTAGTATTGTAACTGAGAGTTTCGGCGTGAAATGAGGAAAAGACAGAATTCTACCCACCAACAAGACTCTCCTGCTAGTTCAAGACTACTAAACCTGCCTTTCCATTTCTTGGAGCTTTTTCAGGGACTCTACTATAGAAGGAGGTTACAGATTTTGACAAATCAGGCAAGTTCAACCGATAGTAAAACAGGGGTTGCTCTGCTTGGTGAGCTGCTGTGCCACACCTTACCTTCTGGAGCATCCAAATAACAGTGTCAGAAGGAAAATCTGTCTGCTGACATAAGTGGAATTCAACAATACTGTGCAGAAATCATGAGAGAGAATGGGAACTTACTGGTAGTACTGAAAAGCATTCATGCAAGAATCAGTGCAGGTAATTTTCACAGGCCCACAGACAAGGTGTTTCTAATAAATTAAAAAAAATAGCAACCACTAATCACAAGCAATCTCCTGACATTACTTTCCATCATTAAGTTGCTTTTCACTTTTTATAAAAGGATGTTAACATGTAACAGAGGAGTAGGTGTTTTGGGGGTAGATAGGATACCTGTTTAGCAAAAGTCACAGAACAGGGTTGCTGGAATGGGCTGAGCATGAGAAAGGCTAGCTTTAGTGATGACACAAAGAAGTATGTCATCTTTTCTTAAGGCAACCCAATTAGTAGGAAAGGTTTGATTGTATTGTATACAGTATATCCTTCCCAGAAGCCAGTTTGGGATAGTGGCTAAAGCAACAGGCCAGAAACAGGGAGACTGAGAGTTCTAGTTCCACTTTAGGCACAATGCCAGTTTATGATTGGTCCAGTCACTCTCTATCAGCCGTAGGAAGGAGAAGGCTAAGGCAGATCGCTTATGAAAGTCTTGCCAACATAACTGCAGGAACTTGTACAGGAAGCCATCCGGAATCAATATTGATTTGAAAAAAAACCTTCCCAGAAGACAGACCATTCCATACCTGGTGAGTTGTGAAAGATTGTGGTTGTGCTACTAATCTCCACAATAGATCCACCTTCTGCTGCTGGAATGCTTCCTCATTGTTCACAATATGCACAATACTACAGCAAACTTGTGGCACAGCCTCCTGGAGAAGAAGAGCAGTTCCCAGGAGAGTCATAAACAGGTAAGACTGCTACTTCCACCCACCATGAGCCAAACCTTTGTCAATCTACTCACTGTGCATTGCTGGGCCACACGCTGGAGCTCAGCCACATGGTGCAACTTCTCTTCTGTTACTGAAACCCAAAAGGAGAACCAAAAGAACACTCAGGCTGAAATCGCTATATGTATACCGTATGTATCCTGGAGGTCCTACTTCATGGACTATTTATTCCTAATTATATGGAGTTGAAACGCTCTGTAACTCTAGCAATAAAACCCTTCCCGTGTGTAACATCCATCTGATCAATAAACAGTAGAGCAGGACTGGGTTTAGCTCACAATAAGAAAGTCAAAAATAGGGCTTTCTCAGCCATCATGTTCCAATTATAGAACTGAGACCCCAAAGAGAAATGACTTTACAATTTAAAATCTTCCCAATCATTTAGCATTTAAAAAACAGTAATTACTGCAGGACCAGACTGTCTGTCAGATTGCCAGTTCTCTTTTAAAAAAACAACATTGTTTATTAACATTGGATATAATAATGCTATTTGTCCATATTCATCATGGAGAAAATGTATCTATATGGTTGCTAGGAGTAAAAAAAAAAACCTTGATGGCATATAATCAATCAATCAATCTGTCCATATATTATCCGAAGGAATGTAAGCCACTTACCAAGAAAGACATCTAAGTTGGGGTCATAGCCTTCCAATCCCTCCTGCTTCTCCAGGAACTCTTTCAAGTGCAGTTTACATACAATTTCATCCTGGTCTGCCTGGATAAATGTAGTATATTGACATTGGCAAAGGGTTTCCTTCAAGGCCAGAATATTCTCAGGAACTCGAGAGGCTTCTGATCCCAAAGGCCAATCAACTTGTATCTGATGCAAGAACTGATGGATTTCCTTATCGACAAAAGCTGGAACCAGCTGCACTTTTATTCTGTTTGAGCAAAACAAACAAAGGAATTCTACAGCAAACAAATTCACAATCATTGCATTCATACCACTGCTAATATAATTTGCAGAAAAACCTCTGAAAACCAGCATAATGGAATAATAGATTAAAGGTCCATGAGCCAATGGAAGTGCATCTAATTTGCATCTCATAAATACCTTGACAATCCAAAATGAAAGGACTTTAAGGAGTAGGAAAGTCATATGTTTTTAGAACCTAAGCTGTAAAGTGATTGACAATAAAGGCTCATGCCATGCACTAACCCTTGAGCTTGGAGCAGGCCCGCCAAGTGGTCAGTGATGAGGATGGCCCTCAGATGACCCAGACTGAGTGACTTCACGTCTTTCCGTCCATGCAGGGGCACACAGTTGAGGATGATGCAGTGTCCCTGGGATGTCAAAGGAGCCTTTGTGTATACAGAAAGAGCTGTCAAAATCTGCTCAAAGACTCTTGATCTATCCAATTGCACAATCAGTCCAGCTGGAACATTTTGACAGCTGTGAATGGGAGGCACTCCTGGGCACTTCAATGAAAGTACACTCTCAACAATGTCTTTGGGAACCTATCACAATATAAAACACAAAAGACAAGTAGATTTGACATCTTTCTGGTACTAGTTGTTCAAGAACAGAAACCAACCATGGCACACATTAGAAATAAAGATATTCTCATTTTAAAGCTCCAGAATAAACTACAACAATGGCATTGTAGATGACGGGGTGCTAGTTTCTGCTACGAATGCAAAAGAAAATAAATTAATTCTATATTTATTATACAAGCTATAACGTATGTTGTTAAGAAATACATTTGAACTTTGGACTTCCAATGGATGGAAGAATTAAATGTCCAAAAAAGTGGGGATGGGAGATTACCCACATGTATTCCAGGTGGCTGCTCCTCATGAGGAGACCACAGGACAACAGTCTGACTGATTTGAGTGCCAGGAGACAAAGGGATCAAGCCATCACAACTACAGTAGAGCTTTTAAAAAGGATATTGGGTTAACTAATCTCACTTTCTAATCACTTTGGAAAATTGCCTATTTAATTATCTTAATGCTATCAGAGACTTTCAGAATGACAAGTTTGAAAAGCCACCTGATGAAATTATCTTTTTTCTTGAACCAAAATAAATTAATCACAAGTTTAAGAATTTAAAGAATTAGAAATAAACGGCAAAAAGCTAAACAAGACTTTGATCCGAGAAAGTTATAAATGAATTAAGAGTATAGTCAAATCTGGAATATTGATAATTTTACCAGTTTGGCGATTTTGGAAATAAATAGCTTTTCATGGGAACCAAATTGATTTATAACAGAGATTTGAGATGATTTCAGAAATTGAACACTAGAGGGGACTAAAAACTCCAGGCAGAAAAAGAAAAGGGAAAAAAATTGTCTTTGGATTTTGTTGACAAGGATTCTCAAAATCACACAAATATTCCAGGAGATTTTTAAAGAATGGGACCAGAAATTGTAGCTATAATGTCAGAAACATCAACAATGTTGTCTACTTCTACGGATATACTATTCCCAAAAGATGTTAACGAAGGAGTGATAAATATAAAACAAACTTTGCCTGAAGCAGAAATATTAGAACATTGGGCAATAAAAAAGTGTGAATTATGAGACAGAGAAGAAAGCTAAAGTGGAAACATAAATGACAAGAGAATGATCTGGATAAGAACTTACTATTCAATATACAAAAGGAGGTGGTTAAAGCTTTGAAAAACATTCTTTACATTTTTATTCTATCTTTCTATTCTCTTTCTGAGTTTATTTTGTATTTGCTTTTATTGTTGTATTAAATTGTATGTATGTGTACTGCTGAATTTCTGTTTTTGTTCTGTGACCCCATTCCTTCCATATTCTCAAAGCTTCTGTTCTGTAAACTTTTGTGACTTTTGTAGAATGGGCTATGTTCACACAATGCAGTATGTTCCATCTGATCATTGAATTAACCCACTGTCTGGATTCACATATTACATTGAACCGTAACTTAACAAGACTGTATTTGCTAAACCATAAAAGCAGAATCAAGGTTAATACTAAGCTTACTATGTCATGGAAATGCAACCCATTTGGATAGGATATGAATCAGTGTACTGTATGAGCCAAGAAAATGGTTAATAATGAAACACATGAAGATTGGTAGATATATAAACAACTTGGTTAAGAATTTTAGGTTTCATTAATAGCATTTTAAAAGTTGGTATTAATACTTTTAACATGGGAGTCTAGGCCTCTTTTCCAACTTCAGGAAAATATTTTTCTTCTTCTTAGCCAAGGCCATTTCTTTTGGAATTATGATAACTTCTGAACACTAAATGGTAGAATATGTTCTGAAAATCCTTGAACACTTTAGGAAAGATACAAACCCAGCAAACCCAACTGGGAAAGAGTAATGCAATGCATAAATTTGGCACCTGTAGAATAATTGTTTTGATATTGTTCAAGATTCACATATAATCATTTCATTATTTGACCACTTGCTTTCTGACGTATCACATATACCAAATATCATTTGTATCATTTGTTTCTTTATCCTATAAAAAGACTTGATCCTCCCCTTAATAATTTTTTTTTTTTGCTGTGCCTGAATTACTTGGTGATTTGTATTTTCAGGTGGGCAAAGGAACCCGTTTACAAAGGTCTCTCAAACTAAGCCATCAATTTCTCATCAGTTCCAGGACAAACACAGCGAGCCTGAGTTTTGAGGCATTATACTTTATAATATTACAATATACTTTACAATATCACAATATTGAAGCAATATTACTTTACAATAATACAGAACTAATTTATTTCTGTGTTCCTCCCAATTTAGCCTACATCCTCAAAGTTTCCCAATGGCCTCCCATCCATGCATTAGGTTGCAATATTTAGCCTTTAGACAGACCTGGCAAGGTCAGGCAGGTGCAACTATGTAACTCATTTGCAAGTTAACTTATAACCCAAAGGTGCTTTTTTCAGGAGGCAACTGGATTTCCTTGTATTTTTCTTCGAAGACGTTTCACTTCTCATCCAAGAAGCTTCTTCAGCTCTGATGTTGGGGAAATGGAAGGATTTATATTCCTTGCAGACAGCTGGTCATTTGCATCTTTTTAGAGGTTCACTGAGGCCACCTGGAGGTTTATCTGTCCTCAGGGTCACTTGAGTAATGCTTCTGGTTCCTGTAGTCTGCAATTATTTTGGAAATCCATTCATTTGAAGGGTATTCATCTCAAATTGTGTAGCGAAAAGTCTATGGAGATTCTCACTCATCCAGGTCCTGGTTGTCCCAAAGGTGTTTTTTCAGGAGGCAACTAGACTTTCTTGTTTTTTCTTTTGAAGATGTTTCGCATCTCATCTAAGAAGCTTCTTCGGCTTTGGCTGGATGGTGGGAATGCAAGAATTTGATAACCATGGGACATCCATGACCTGGATAACTGAGAATCTCTTACAGACTTTTAGCTATGCAATTTGGGATGAACACCCTTTGAATGGTGAGGGAACATGAAGAAAAATTGTAGACTACAGGAACTATTAGCCCTACTCAAGTGACCTTGATGACAGAGATAAACCCCCAAGTGCCTCAATGGCCCTCTAAAAGGATGCAAATGACCAGCTGTCTGCAAGGAATATAAATCCTTCCATTCCCCACTGTCCTGTCAGAGCTGAAGAAGCTTCCTGGATGAGAAGTGAAACGTCTTCAAGTGAAAAAACAAGAAAGTCCAGTTGCCTCCTGGGGAAAAAAAAGCACCGTTGAAACAACCATGACCTGGATGACCGAGAATCTCTACAGATTTTTAAATAATAATGTTCCGGCTTTTTTTCCCCTCCCGCCCGCCTGCCCGCCCTTTTCGTCTCAATGCCCCGCCCCTATTTTAGCCCCGCCCCCACCTGTCCGTTGGCGAAGGCGCCCCTCAGAGCGGCCTTGGGGGCCAGGAAGTCCCGGCTCCGTAAATTTCGGGCGCTGCTCTCTTTGAACCAAAGGGAGGCACGAGCTCCATCTCCGGCCTTTCCACTCAGAACGGCGTTGAATGCCGCCAGGGTCTCTGACACGCGCAGCCGGCTGTCGGCTGTCTCCATAGCGACAGAGGGTGGGGGGCGGATGGGAAACACTCTACGACGCTCTTCGCGAGGGCAGGAACCGAGGGGGTTTCCTTGCACGAGTTTGACGGAAGTGACGTTGGGAAAGAAAAGTCCTGGGGTGGGGTGGGGGAAATCTGTATAGAACGGCGTGTTTTGCCACTTCTCACTGGTCTACTTCAAAAGTGAATTCGAAGTTACTCCCTTTACTTCTGTGTACAGTTGTTAAATAGACTAACAAGGCGCACTTTCGTAGTGTTTTTCTTTCTCCTTGGAAGATTTAGACCGGGGGTCTCCAACCTTGGAACTTTAAGCCTGGAGGACTTCAACTCCCAGAATTCCACAGCCAATTTTCAGATGTGTGACTAGGGAATTCTAGGAGTTGAAGTCCAAACATCTGAGAGCAGCCAAGTTTGAGAAACACTGACCTGTATCTTGAAACCCGATTTGAAAATACAGATGTGTGTGTGTGGTGTGTGTGTGTGTGTGTTAGCAAATGGAAGCTTTTATGGCCTTTGCTGCATTATTAACTTTAGTCTTGACAACTTTATGCCACAGTAAAAGTGCCGTCTTGAGATATCCCATTGCATTGTAGTTTTGCAGGGACTAATATTCTGAACTAAATATAATCACATTTCAGTTAAGAAAAGCTACCGGTATTTCATTGCTATTCAGTTCAGCATGCTAACAAGTCATATACAGATAGTCCTTGACTTACGACCACAACAATCAAAAATCTCTGTTGCTAAGTGAGACATTTGTTAAGTGAATTTGGTGTCATTTTTCCGACCTTTCTTGCCACAGTTGTTAAGTGAATCACTGCAGTAAATTTAGTAACAGGGTGGCTAAGTGAAGCTGGCTTTCCCATTGACTTTGCTTGTCAGGTCGCAAAAGGTGATCACATGACTCAGACCCACTGCAACCATCACGAGTCACTTGCCAAGTCTGAATGTTGATCATGTGACCATGGGGATGCTGCAATGGTCATGTGAGTCACTTTTTCCAGTGCTGTTGTATCTTCAAATGATCACTAAATGAACTGTTGTAAGTCGAGGACTACCTGTATTGTTTTCAGATGCATGTTTTTGGCCCTTAAATCTTTCTGTGGTGGAAATGTGTCTATTTATATGGGTTTGTGCAAATAGGTTTGATCACTTAAGCATTAGGTAGCTGCAGTATTCAGTACTAGAGTTTTTTTGTTTCCAATTCATGATTTCCAATTCATGATTTTTAGTATGAAAAGTATTTTTTCCTTTTTCAAAGATTCATTCAAAAGCTCAAGAGCTGCCTTTCATTAGATAAATTCATTCATAAGACCATGAGGAAACTTGAAAGCTATCAAAACAAGCAGTAAAACATTGTCAGACAAAAATAAATACAAATAATGTGGATAATGAATTTTTTGTTTGTATATTTCATATGTTTATTTAATATCCAAAGCTCTATATATCTGCACTGTTTTTTTTATAGTTGAGAGGGTTTTTTTTAATTATCAAAGATCTCAATGCCTTTGTGATGTTTTCTATAGTTATTTGAATTATTTTTGCCATTGGTATCCTAGGTTTTTAGCCATTCAGAGATGGCTAAAAATATAATAATGCTTGTAACTGTCTTTTTCTGCTATGTAATCTTCACAGACGGCCAAGAACAAAGAGCAACACATAAAGTTGTACTCCTTCTGTGATGCTATTGGCTTAGTTAATAATGTCGATTAATCCATCAAGTAAGTTTGCTTTAGAATCTTTTACTGGAGACAGGCTTGTGGAAACACCACCTGCATAAAATGAGACATATTTATGGGAGTGATCTAGGACAGCACCTAGCTGGTCTTGAATAATTTTGAAGAAAATTCAGCTTGGTCAGATAGAATTTGGATCATTAGGAGGCTGGCTTGGGAAATCCAAAATATTTTCCAGATCATGACCACTTCTATTTTGTTCTTAAGAAAACAACATTGGTTTATTGATGTAACTAGCCGATAACCCGGCATTCCCCAGGTATTTATTTATCCTAACCCATACATTTTGTCCTCAAAAATAATCCTGGACCAAACGTAATTTCTAATGTTGGATTTTCCCCCTTACCAGAGGGAGCCCCCTTGTGAAGTAATGTGAAGCCATTATCATGGCAACTCCATTGCGCTGTACAGTACAGGGCGGGGCATAACCTTTTCCTAGGGGGTCACAGCAACACTTGTAATAACAACACAAATAATTCATACACCATTCGAAAGCCCATCAAAAACTGAGTTTATTGACACGATTTAATAGTCAGTATGACCACCATTAGCCCTTCGAACAGCATTCAAACGAGGTGGATAAGAACACAACAAATCTTCAAACAGTTCCGTTCGATTTTCCAGATTTTTCAACACAGTTTCCAAATTCATTCTCAAAGTTTCAACCGAAACAAATTTAACATTTAATAGCTCATTCAATTCAGTTTTTTATGGGCTTTAAAATGAGGTGTCGCGGAAGTTGTAAACTGCTGTCGATCTTGCTGTGACCCCCTAGGAAAAGGTTATGCCCCGCCCTGGAAAATCTGGAAAATCGAACGGAACTGTTTGAAGATTTGTTGTGTTCTTATCCACCTCGTTTGAATGCTGTTCGAAGGGCTAATGGTGGTCATACTGACTATTAAATCGTGTCAATAAACTCAGTTTTTGATGGGCTTTCGAATGGTGTATGAATTATTTGTGTTGTTATTACAAGTGTTGCTGTGACCCCCTAGGAAAAGGTTATGCCCCGCCCTGTAGAAGCCATTTTAAGGCACAACAGTATCTTAACAGAACACATACCCTGAGGGGCATTAGGGGTATCTTACCCCCACAGTATTTATTTCCAGAGAATAAGTCATCTTGTTTGTTTGTTTATTGGATTTATACGTCGCCCTTCTCACAAGGACTCAGGGCGGCGTACAACATTTAAAAAGACACATATTACAAAAGTTAAAAAAAATTAGCTAGAGTATCCAAAAAACAAACCCAATTAAGATTAACAATAACATTTAAAATTTGATTAAAATTAACAATAATCATTTATTTTACTTTGTTCAGGCCAGGCCAGCTTGCTGGAAAAGCCAACTTTTTAGGGCGTGTCAGAAGGACCAGAGGTCGGGGATTATACGAAGCTCCGGGGGGCAGCTCATTCCATCTGTGTACCAAGTTTGGTTGAAATTGCTCGAGGCAATTATGCTGGAACACACACACTTTAAATAGATAGATAATTACAAGCCGAACTCAATTTGAAGGTAACTGAGCTTTTAGCAACATTTGGGCAGCGAAGCAAGGGAAACCACGAACTGTCCAGGATATTTGAAAGAGCGTGCCACATGAAGACAAAGCCATTATTTGGATTAGCATCCTTATTTTTTTCTACTTATTTACCAGCAGAAAAAGAAGATGCATATTGCTTTTAATTTTTTTTCTTAGTTACAGCTTATCAACCACACAGAAGGAAGAAAGATTGTACTTGCTGAGCTTCCTTGGTCTCAACAGCGATCTTATTTTGTTTTGTCTCTTGCATGGCCTTGGCCGCTTCCTTTTTAAAACCATATGTACAAAATAAATTTTGATATATAGTTGGCACTTTATGCTGCTTTTTTTAAGGATTCCTTTTTAATTAAAATGATCATCTAAAAACACTCTTCAACTATTGAGGCCAAACTAAAACGTTCTGGATCTAAGGGATCTAACCCTCTTATTTTCTACTTTTCTCCAGTGGCCTCAATTTCAAAAGCATATTTTCAAATCCAGGTATCAAATAAAACCTTAAACTATCCTTTCTTGCACACCTTTCAAATTTCACCAAGTGAATTATTACTTTAGTAGGTGGTTCCTGAAAGCCAGAGTTCCTTCTTTTTCTTTGACATAAGGTTGAGAAAGTAGGGTGCTCATCTTATTTTCTCCATGTGATCAGCTCCTCCTTGCCAATTGAAAGGATCTTCTGTATGTATTGCTAGATATTTCAAACACCAAATTCACTGAATGTGTAAAGGTTTTTGCCGTCACATTTGAGTCTCGCTTGGCATTCTGCTCTTCAGAGCAGTCAGCATTAGAATGATTAGGTGAAAGCAATACATTTTTGGTGGATGAATGCATTTGGCCATTGAATAATATCCCAGGAATGCATACCTAAAAGTAGGTAGGCCTAAAACAGAACCAACATTTGATTAAATAAGGATTGCTTCTTATGTATTTAATCATTTCTTTTTCTCTTTTTTATTCCTTTGAGTCAGTGTTGATTCCTGGCCATTGTCTAAACAAGTCCCTGCAGGGTTTGTTTTGTTTTTTAGCAAGATTTTAGAAATGGCTTGCCATTGCTTTCTTTCTGGGACTATGAGATACTAAAAATTAGCAGCAACATTTGGAAAGGATATGAGTTATTCCCAAAGTTTTTGGTCCGATTTGCACTGTCTGCAAGTTCAGCATTACAAGTTCTTCCTTTTTGTATTTTTAGCCTTTAGGAATGCAGATAAATTTAGAATTTACAAGTTAACACCAGAAGGAAGTATGTGTGCATGTGTGTGCACGTGCATGGACATGTGTGTGCAGTGCTGGGGAATACAAGTCAACGAGGATGATTTTCCACTGTGGAAAATTCTGAGTGCTACTTTCCCTCCATAAATAGCAGAAGCAAAAATATTATTACAAATCGGGAAGCAGAGTTCTGATTCATTTCAAAAGAGAGAGATCACAAATTTCAGGGGTTTATTTTGAGCAGCAAAATTTTATTTTATCAGCAAGTTCACAGAAAACTTCATTCTAGTTTGCCATTTGTCATGTCATTATTTTTCTTTCGGTTGTCAGAAAAGGGGAAGAAATTCCCCTACACCATCCACAGTCAAGAGATGATCTGAGATTTCCTGCTTACCCCAGACCAACTAATGACTGTCAGCAGTGGTGGAAGATGTTGGATGTTGTCCTTCTCTGCATGCTCATAATTTGCATCCTTTGGGGGGGGGGGGACATAGCCAAATCTGGCCCCATAAATATGGGTTCTGAATCAGGGTTTCAGATTGGAGGTGCTGATATAAATAGCTATTATGGGAATGTGGTGGCCAATAAT